ATATTTATGCAATCATGATGAGCTCACAACAGTGTGTTGATTCACTCTTGACAGCATGCCTGGAATCCTAATAAAATGGCAGCAAGACTGAGGCCGTGACATTCAGAATTGGCTTCTCTGTCCTCCCAACTCCATCCACAGAAAGTCCACTCCCTCCCTCTGACCCCAACACAGTCATGGAAGTTTGGGAGTGCACGAGGTCAGTGTTCCTTAGAGCCCTTGGGACTCATCCTCTTGGTGTTGCCAAAACAGCTGAACTGGCAGCACTTCTTCAATCCCTTAACCACTGATAACTAGTCACCCTCTAGTTATACCACAGCAGAGACTGTCCATGAACTGGCCGGAATGGCAGCCTTTGGCTGCCCCACTTTGGCTAAGCCACAGGGTATTTGTTACACTTCAAAACTAACTGCCTTTACAATGGAAAGTTTTCTTTGCTCTATACTTCAGAACAGTGAAAATGGCATTGGGAAGATGAATTCCTGTCCTATACTCCAAATCTTGGGTATTTTTGGCTATGTGGTTACCAGCAGGGCTGTGCTATGTAAAGTTTAGATGGTTGACCACTTATTTTGCAAATATAAAAATTAGATTATTTTTTCCCTGGAGCAGTTTAAGAAATTTATGTTTCCTTTTGAATTCATATGCATAGTGTTGAGCAAAGTCCTCAATTAGGATTCTTTTACCTCCTCATTTAAATGGCACTATTTTCTTTTTACCACAATTTTCAGGTTTACCTATTTTATCCTCTGCTTCCATAATTATTTTACAATAATTACTATGTTTTCTAGTAAATTAACTTCTGCTGTTAACATTTTTTCCTTTACTGGTCTTCTAAATTCTTGTGTTACAGATTCATTCCATTCGCTTTTATTGTTTAATCATTTTTAGGTAAACTTTTGATTCTGATGTTCCTATCTGCTGCTCCAAGGTTTCTGTATATGGCCCCTTTGTGGCAGTTATTTTCTAGATATTCTATAATTTTATGTTTGATTTTTCCCTGGCCTGAGATGTATGTCCAGGTTAGTTTTTTTATTTAGTTGGTTTGATTGTGTGCCTTCTATTGTTTTCTGATCTTATTGCTTTATGATGAATGTTAACTCAATTTCTTCAGAAATTTGAGGTTTCTTTATGGCTAGTTCTGGGTGACTTTTGTGATTAATTTTTCCATGGTTACTGGAAAATAAGATATATATTTTGGGGAGCAGGTGTGTGTGTGTTTGCAGAGAATCTGTCTTATTTCATATGTGATTGAGAAAAGTTCAGCTAAATTCTTATACTACATTTTTTCCTGATGTTCCCTAGAATTTGTTTACAAATGTTGATTATTTATAACAGTATTTATAACTGTTAAATTCTCATTGTGGATTATTTTCTTTGTATAACATGCTTGTCTGTTTCACATTTAGTGCTTTTTGCTTTTGCTTGGCATCTGCCTTGTTTGAAATCTGTGCCTTTTTGGGTTTGTTCATGTTGCCCTACTATGTCTCTGCCCATCCTATTATTTTCAAACTATAAATCACTTTAGTTTAACATATTCTGAGCACACTGATTGTTAGAGCTCCATTGTTCTCTCCCAGGTTGATAGTTAGGGCGAACACTAATTAATAACCAAGGGCTTAATTCTCCCTGTTGAAAATAAGAGAAGAAAGACCTATGCTTGCCTCCTCCCCACTTTTTCTGAGAGCATTTAATTTGAAACCTGTAGGTTCTTTCTCCCTTTGATATAAGCCCCTGCCAGCTTTCTCAAGGACCTGGCAGCCATCCCCTTGAAATGTACTTATCAGAGGAGACAGGAACCCTGTTCTCAGTGTCTGTGGAAGTGGGGGAGCCTAACCTCCAGGGGAGCCCTCACCAACTTGTAACACTACCTCATGCCCTAAAGATAGAAGTCTCTTTTTCCTTTGGATAAAGCCAATTAGCTAACACAGTCACCTCAATTATCAGGTGAATTTAGGATGAACTCTGTGCGACAAAGGTGGCTGACCGGTCCTCTTACCTGAAGATTATTGTTTTCCTGGAGAACAGGCACGGCACACATTGTATGTGCTGGACCACATAAGGGCCTCTCCGACCTCTTAGCGGATCGCCTGGAAGATGCTCTGGTTTCGTGCTTGCTCAGTGATGATGCTGCTGCCTCTCCCTTTATCTTCTTGGAGAGCTTTTCTGAGTCAAAAGATTTTGTTTTTGATGATTTTCCCCAATGATAGCAATTCCATTTCTCTGTGAGTGACATGGGAGGGAAACATGGGAGACCATGCTCTCAGAACAAACATGGTCTAATGGCAGATCACACACACCTATTTTCTACTATGTTCGCCGCTAAAGCCATACATTTCTTTGTGAATCTGATGACACCTTGCTTTATTTTGTTTTCTTAATGGTTACTAAGATTTGACACATGAATTGCCTCTTTTGTAAAATGCTAGCGTTCCATTCTTTGACCATTTTTACTGTCATATACAGCTTTTATTATCCTGCTTATTAACCCTCACTAAATGAAATGGGTTGCAAATATTTTTGTCTGATGCTTGTAATGATTTTGTTTATATTGTCTTGCTATACAGGATAGACTCATGTCCCTAAATGTATCTATTTGTTCCTCTTTGGCTTTAAGCATTTGAACGTGTAAGAAGAATTTTCTTAGTCCAATGTCAAATGTTTTTCTCTTCATGCTATTAAAAAACTAAATTCAACTAAGTATATTTTAAAAATCTAATTGGCTGTACCCAGTGATACATGAATCCACCAGCAACGCATCCAACAGACAGAAGGGAGCTGTGAGATGCTGTAGAAAAGGAAAGACTTTTGAAGGCAGAGGAAGCCAACCAAGGTCATGTGCCTATACTTGTAACAAGTGTAGTGGTTGTGGTAAGGTTACTGTCCTTCAGGACATGGCAAAGGTCAGTCAGGAAAATTACCTAACTACTAACTGATCAGTGATTCCTGGTCAACTGGTTTAAGATTCCATTTCTGGGAGAGGCCAACAGAGCAATTAAATCTTGGTTTTGATGATGTGCGGCTTAATATAATTGACTCTTTTGGGGGATGGTTGTCCTATTCTGAACAATACGAAAGTGTTTGTAGTTTCAGTTCTTGTTTTTGCATATAAGTTGTTAACCTCTGGATTGTGTCATTTTGTGGTGCAGTGTGAGAGAGACTGGAGTTCCTTTTCTCCAATGGCCAGCCAGTGGTGGCAACTCGACTTGTAGATTAGCCTAGTCTATCCGAACCCTGAAGCCTCCACTTTGTTCAGTGGATGAAAACAGGTTTATCTGGCCTGTCCATTGTTTAGTGTCCAGACTTTTTAATAACACTGATTTGTAAGTGACAATACAGTGCTATATTTTAAAGGTTCATGTTTTGAGTAGTACCCTAATTTCAAATTGAGTAACACTTTAACTACTGTTACTTACCATAGGGAGATTTCAAAATGAACATCTCCAGATTTTTAAAAGCAGATTTCTGAACCTCACTCCCAGAAAGCTATTTAAATAAGCATGAAATGAGACTCAAGGATTTTCATTAAACAAGTGAAAAACACAAATTATTTTCTTCTCTAGCCATTTATATTGCATTCCTTAAATTCAAACTTTGTGTTCAAGTTACAAGAACAAATTCTAGTGAGAATTGAGGAGTAAAGCAAAGAGTTACTCAGTTTTACTTCCAAAGTGTAAGGAATTATGTATAGAATAAACTAACACTGGCATACAGAACCCAGGGTGTTTACCACAAAACAATTAGTTAGGGAACTGCCAATGGTTAAACTTATTCTTAAAGAGAAGATAACGAATGTGGTCAAGATAGGCAAAGAAAGTGTAATGCTTTGGATTTTGAATTCACTGCTAAATCAGTGTAAATGATCAATACCGATCTAAAAATTCCAAGCAGAATTTACTCTCTTTCAGTAACTACTTCAACTAGTCAAATAGCTTTATATTAGTAACATTTTTGATTTGGCACCAACATTTCACATTACTCACACTATTGGACTTCAGAAATTTTTAAAAAGGTTAAAAAGTTGTGCTTTGTACCTAGACTAAAATATTTTAGAACATGGCACATACGTTTCTTAGAAAACAAGATTTCATGCAATGTTTTTTAAAAATAAAGTGTTCTGTTAATTAAATGATAAGTGATTCTTAAAGCAGGGTCTTCTTTCTATTCTTTAACCTTAGAAAAATGTGATTCTATGTAGAATGCCTGTCGAGAATGGTCAAGAGTTTATTTACTTAAATGCATGACATAAGAACATACTTGTGATTCCTAGACAAAGCTGCTTTAATGAGAAGAGTGAGCTACGTTCAGTGGTCTTTGACTACTGTTTATTTCCAGAACACAGCTGTTGGATCGAATGCAATTCTATGCTAAGTTTTTTCTCCTGCTATTAATAAATGAATGAATCTTTCCTAGCCAAGTTCATAAGAACATATAAGACAATTTGGTCAATGCCTCATTTCACATTAGCTTTGCATTATGTCAAAAACATCTTTAAATATTCCTTTGAAAAAGTTGGACTTTCACATTAATATCATTAAATCCCTTAATAATAAAAGCAAAACTGAATAGATGCAAAGTTTTTTGAAGCATAATAGTATACCCTATATCACTTTAGCAAAACTACATTAACTCAAAACAAAGAATTCTGTCGAAATGTTTATTCTGTTCTTAATTGGATTGAATGGTAATACAAAGATTGTGAGCCAAACTTACATTTCTCATGTACTATACTTTAAAAACTTTATATAAAACCACATCTGACTTAGTTTCTTTCACAATTCATACTTTTAAAAGAACCTTGGATCTCATTGTACGCGCTTTGAAATAAATTCTCTCCTTGACTGTGACTATGATAAATCTGACGAGATTAGCTCTAGTTAGAACTTGTGAGAAAAAAACCCCACAAACTGCTGAACAGAAGCTTCAAGCCTTCTGTGGCTAACAGTCGAAAAGCTCCCCTTAAAAGGGAAGATGAAACACAAAAATACGGACTCATAAAATTACTGTAAACGGCAGGGAAAGTTTTATTACCACCCCAGTGCTTACACTAAGATACACAATTTGGAACTCTGACCAAATCCTGAGCACTGTCATTTGAGAAGGCGTTAAGAAGGATGTAAACATTATCCTGAACATGACGCAGCAACAACAGTGACAGAAGCCTAAGTGCCGTCTCCGAGGCGCACAGCCACTGTGGGGACTGAAACTCCCCCACCCCATTTCAGCTTAGGCTCCCGGGCCCCCTCGCTGTCTCTCGAAAGCACAGCCCTGGGGAGGGTCACAGAGCAGCACACCCACCACCTTGCTGCGTTCTCAGGAATCTGCTCCAAATGGAGAAATCAAGTCAGGCTGCCTCTCGCCAGCCAGCGGGAGGAGAGGAGCCGGAGCCCGTCAGCAGCACTGGGACTTGCTCTCGGCGGGCAAGGCCTCCTGCTCCAGTTTGATTCTGTCCACATCGTTTTCTTCATTAGGAAAGCTTTGCTGGTTCGTAAGAATGTTCTCCACCAGAAACCGGGCAGCTTCATCTATGTTTATGTTATCCTGTAAAGCCGAAATACAGAACAGGATTCTTAGAAGAAAGCATGAAGAATATTAATGGGAACTGGAAACATTTCTCCAAGAGGACATTGTAAATACACCAGCCACCACCTTCTCTGATGTTTAAAGTGTCTGCCAAGAGTTCAATGCTACTGAGTAATGTGGCTATGAAACCTTCTTTGGTTTTTTGTTTGTTTGTTTGTTTGTTTGTTTGTTTTTACAAAGGATCATGCTTTTTGGTGGTTCCTGCTTTAAATTTGCTGCCACTGAGGGTCAAGGTACTATTGTAATGGTTGCAAACAAATCTTCACCCTGCTCCAGGTTGTCACTCACACAAATGCATGCACTGAAATGAAAAACTATCCCTGACCTTGGACATCTAACTCAAGTGTTCAGGGTACATCATGAAGGCAAATGTCAAAGGGCTCAAGCCACACTAGAATGGGACAAGTCCATCTTGTCGTTCCCCCACCTCTGAGTGATGCCAGAGGGGTTTCTTGGCTATGCACAGGAAGGAATTCAAGACACGAGACTGACAGACAGGAGGTGAAAGTGGACACAGGTTTTGTTGAGCAGAGAGGACCAGCAGGAAACACCACTTCGTAGACAGAGTGGCGGACGCACCCCATGACAGAGGAAAGAGAGACTCCAACCACGTCTAGAGGTGGAACTTGGAGTGTTTGTAGTTTTTAGGGAAAGGAGCAGGGATGGATCAATTCTTCCCTAAAACTATTATTACGGCGGTGTTTGGTGATTAATGGTGATTAATGGTGATTTTCTGTTTTCATCATTCCTTCTGCATCTATTAGCTGTCATTCTACTGTTAGGAAGATCTTTCTCTTCTCTCCCATTTATTTATTCATCTGTTTACTCATCTCATGGACTATTATTTTATTCTACAGATTAAATCTATTACAGCGGGCTTTTTTTAGGATTTTATTTATTTAGTTTTGAAGGAAAGAGAGGGAGAGAAACATCAGTGTGTGGTTGCCTCTCACACACTCTCTACTGGGAACCTGGCCCACAACCCAGGCATGTGGTCTGACCAGGAATTGAACCTGTGACCTTCCATTTGCAGGCCAGTGCTCAATCCAGTGAGCCACACCAGCCAGGGCACAATATTCTTTACTTTGCTGCTCAAATTGTCTTACATTTGGGAGCTCCTATAAATAGGCCCTTGTGTCTTTCTGATCTGTCTCCAATGCTCCTTGTGAGATTCCTTACTCTCAGGCACATCTTCACCGTGTTTGTCCCACAGTCCAGAAATCCACCATTTGCCTAAGAAACCCGATTCCTTGGATTGGAAAACAGTAGTATTTAAAGTTACTGAGGACTCACAGATCATCGGTTCTACCCTGCCATTGCTTCTAAGCCCTCTCAGCAGACAGACCCAGTGAATACACGTGTGTCTCCCTATACACACCGATATTTTTCTATGTTTACCTCTCTGTTTATACACATTTAGTGTGTACATGTGTGCAGCATGTGTATGTGTGTACACACACACAAACACGTAAGGAATATATATGTATGTAACATTATGTTAATAGTGATCTCTCTGATTCCCATCCAACACCGCGAGGTTCATTCTAGCTCTCTCCCTTATTTGTTATACCTTTCTCAGACACTGAGAAACCTCCTGGACTTGGGCTATTTATTGAAGTAACTTTTCCAGCATCCACACAAGCTTTGCTACTTCCACTCCCAAGATAAGCATTAATTTTAATTAAAGTATTGGTCTCCGAATGTCCACAGGTCATTCAGTTGCCTCCATCCCCAATATATCAAGTAATTGTGTTTTCTGATTGCAGTTAGTGGCCATTGATTAGGAACAAAAGCTCCCATGTTGTAGTGCAATTAGCCACATGCTTTCATCCTGGGAAGGCATTATTGGCCACAGAGGTGAAAAGATGAAATTCACGAACTCACAACAACTGTTTGGCTATGTTCCCACTGGAATTCAGATCCCTGGAATTCCAGCAGAAATCGGACTTGAAGGCAGCTTCTGGCCAAGCCAGAAGCATAGGCCTTGGTTACACCTAGGCAGGGCCTTAAGCTTTGGCTAAAGTTTTTAACCTGAACTTTACGTTACTGTTACTCCCTCAGAACACTCCCCGTTTACTACTAAATTCCACAGGAGGTGTCCCTCATGTGTTTGTAGGAAAGCACAGGACACCAATGCTTTCCTCCTCATCCCTCTGTGTGATGCCATCTATAAATACAGAGGCTGGCAAAAGCAGATTTATAGTTTTTTGTATGGAAAAGAATGAAATAATTAATAATAATACAAGAATAAACTGTTTCAAGGATGCACAAACTGTAAACCTACTTTTGCCAACCCCTGTAAAACAAAGCTGACGACGTATGCAGTCACACACTACAGGCTGGGTGACACATTTGTTTACAAATCTCCCATGTGGATTCTGGGGATACATTTGGATTTATTATTTGAATGATTCATTCAGATAAAGCCTAAAAAGACATTTTTATCTGTAATACATACATCCACTCCACTGAATCTCACGCTGTATTAAACATTTACGCAAACCATTAACTTCTCCGACAAAGATTAAGAAGCAAGCAAACCCTCTGACAGTGAGCCGGGGGCATGGCTTCTGGCACAAGCCCCTGTGTACACAGCCTCCCCCCACCCCCTGTAATTTCCTGATTCCCGTCTGGCCAAGTGCTCATGAGGCTTCTTTGAGCTTCATCTCTCTTCTGCCACTACTTTCTATTTATGACACTAAATGCTAAGACTCTAGAATATATTTACTTAAACCAATAGCCTTTAGCTTGGGAGGAAACACTTCTGCCTCCAGTGGAAACGAGTTTGCCCAGCGACTCCGTCTTCACTCAGTATTCTCAGAGCAGCATTCTTGCGAGGCTCTCACGCCTTTGCTTTCGTTATTCTGATCATCAGTGGCACCAAATACTCTTCCACTTTTGGGATGGGTTTCCAAAAGCTAAAAACAACCTGGTAGTACATAAGTGATGAGTAGGAACCAAGCTTTTAAGTATATATATATATATATAAATGGAAGTCACAGAAAGCATACTAAAACCTGGCACTGTGTTAGGATTACACCAAACTTACAGTTTTGAGTTTGTCTATCATCGGGGAATGTTTCAAACATTTCATCATTCTCACACAAGTCGGATTGTTATTTGACCTCCGAAGTGAAACTGCCAACACACAGCAACCAAGCACCCTCCACCCTCCAATACTGGTGCCTGTGATTTTCACACTCACGTTCTTGCATGTCAAGGCTGTTAAGATTTTCAACACCCAACTTAATGTGTTTCTGTTTTTCTTCAAAAAAACATTTTATCTAGCTTCCTGTAATGAGCTGAAGAAAAATTCTCACTCTACTACTCATGAAGGAATTATGTCACCAATATTGGTACTTTCCTCTTGTTCAAATTCTTTCATACAGAGTTAATACACAACTCTTCAGACACCACTCAGTACATCTCCTCTTCAATGCCTTAGTCAGCCTTGTATATGAAACACATCTTTATGAGCGGTATGGCCCTATGTATTTTTAAGCCTTCTGTAAAAATTTTAAAAATGCTTGTGCTTCATCTCATATACTCTAGGTGCACAAGACTTCATTTAAATACTCAAACGCACAGAAAATAGGCTTTGCTATTTGCTCTAAATAATAGTTCATTTTTACTTTAATGTGAAATCTGTCCTTCTAATCACCTCCCCACGGACCAATTCCAAAAGCATCCCTGCTGTGGCCTGAGAGAAGCTGTAACATATCCACGCTGCGCTGCACTTTGTCCAGGCTTCCAACACCCACGCCCATCAATCCAGCTAATACTTCGTGGTTAGAGCTCACATGTGCAAGCTGACAGCAGAGTCAGTCCAAAGGCAAAGCAGATCTCACCTTTGCAGAGGTTTCAAACCATCCAGTGAAGCCATGCTCTTTGCAGAACTGATCCATCTGGGAAGGGTTCTGCCCACCATCCTTCTTCTGGTCACATTTATTAGCTAAGAGAACAGCAGGAATAGGGCCGCCACTTGGAAGATGGACTTTACTATCCAGATCATTTTTCCATTTTAAGACGGCCTCAAAGGTGGAACCTCTCGATATATCAAAGACTACAAAAGCACCAACAGCTTCTTTATAGTAGACTCGAGTCATGTTGCCAAACCGCTCCTGCCCTAGAAATAAATATAATAAGATGTTAAATGCTCCCAATTTAGACAAAGTCTCTATTCAACACCTTTGACCCTGAGAATAAATCCATATCTTCTAATCCATAGTAACACAGACTGGCAAGATTAAGGATATACACACAGAAGGGACTCGCAAAGCGGATGTGGCTGATCACATGGTCTGAGTACACAAGTAACTAGTTTTTGTTCTGCACATATACAGTGGATTCTCCATAACCACCAATATGACAGTACTTAAAGCTACAGAGTCCACCATTTCCTCTTCCCTGGGTCTAAGAGAAGAGAGGTTAGGTTCTAAAGTAAAAAAAGAAAGCTGGGGGTAGAGGAAGAAGAGATAAGAATAGAAGAAAATGAAGCTTGCAGGAAGAAGATAAGTGTAGGAAGTTAAATGTTAGCTAAAAAGATTAGGACTGGACATGAGATAAAGACTCTCAAGTTCTTTACTCATCTTTCCTTCACATCTCCACCTGATTTTGACTCAATATGCAAGCTTGATCTCCTCAAAAAAGGCAGAGGCATGCAAACCTGCTCTTTTAGAACAAAACATGGCATAATAGCTGTGTCATTAAAAGAAAGATCAATTACAGAGTTCTTAACATACTGTACTTTTAAAATAATAAGTGAGAAACTGGGAAAAACCTGCTGCTTAACCTATCAAATAGAACTTTGCAAAGCACACTGTCACTACCTGACATCATGCTATTCTCTGACATAGGAGGGACCCTAATCTTAACCTGACAGATGCAAAAACAAGCAAAGAGGTTTTTGAGTGGGATTCCAATAGCTATGTCTAAAGAAGGGGCTTGAACCCACGCCTTCCGACCCCCACACACCTATGGAAATATGATGCCAGCCACTGTGAACTAGTTTGCAGTTGCCTTGACTTATCAAGTTTATACTTTCAATAGGCCAGGTCATAGAGTAGAGGTCTAAGGAAAAATAAGTGGCAATCAAATGTTAATCAGAGATAAACGACTCTGACCAGTGAGTAAAAAACTTTATAATAGGAGGGAGGTGGGTTTGGAGGGGGTGGGGGTTGGGGTGGGGAGAAAATACAGACAACCATAGATGAACAACAATAAAATAATTTAAATGAAAGAAACACTATAATGGTACACTTTCCTATTAAAACACATGATGAAAAACACACTTTAACTACATTTTATTGATAGTAACAAATGCAAAGCTACTCCCAAATTAATATTTTTCTCATCCAAATTCTACTAGGTCACCATACAGTTTCAGCTACTGCTTAATGGAGCAATGAAAAAATAAACTCATCAGTTTAAGTTTAGTCCAGAAAAGTCTTTATTATCTGGGATGACACTTTCCCCCAAAACAAAAATAAAACGCAGGGAGTCCCAGCCATGCTGAAAGGAAAGTACTGGGTAGAGAAGTCTGCAGTTACCAACTACAAAGACAGCTGCACGAGTTTTGTTTTTGTGTGGCGTGTGGTGTTCAGAATTACAGCTTCCAGCAATATGGAAACTCAGCAGAATCCAGGAGATCTTCCTCTTCGTGAGTCTGCGGAAGTTGTTCAGAGGGTAGGAGAACTCACGCAACACCACCGTCTTTGACCAGTGCTGTGGCCATTCCTTACTAGAAGGGGGAGAACACTTTCGTGCTTTCTTGACCAAACACTTAAAAGAACATTTTTATAACTGGAAGGTGACAACCCACGTCATTTATTCCAACATCTCTTATTTTACAGATGAGAAAATAAAATCCCAGGGAAAGTCCCTCGATCTCCCTAGACTGACTGGTTATCTCACGTGCTGCTTGATGTGTAAACCAAGTATTCCCTGCAGTATATACACTGCTCCGTATGTCCCTGTGTTGCCAGACAGATCCCAGGCAGTGCCACCAGCCAAGGAGAGATTTGCCTTAAGGATATAGCACAGCCCCACCACAGAAGTTAACCCCTGCTCCCTGTCCCCTAGCGCTTTACCTGGGCAGCTGAGGGACATGTCCCACTGCTGAGTGCCCAAGTGACCCCACCGTGGGGACGGCCCTTTGCACCGACATCGCTGTGAGCACATTGCCAGCATATTCCAAAAGACTCTGAAGTGTTTCATCCTGTAAAAAGGTAAGTTGCTCCCTTTTATAGATGAGGAAACCTTTATTATAACTACACACCTTGGCACTGGGAAAGGAGAAAAAGCGCACGGTGCTGGCTGGCCATCCAGGTTCCAGGACATTTAAAGGGGCACAACTTACACGCCCGAGGGCTGAGCCCCAAGTGACACTCGGCAAAAGGATTACGATGCTTATCTAATACACATTTGGGAGTATCAAGTACCAGTCACTTTGACAAGGAGTTGAGACAACATAAGTAATATATTTCCAAGAATATATAATCCATTAAGGAAAAGAAAACCACAAAATACTTTGCCTTACCTCTTCATATCTAAGGCAGATTTTCAACAGGATAGGGTTTACCCTTGTATTTGAAATGGGAAATACTACATTCTGAACCATTACCAGAAACACAGGCCAGACATGCTTTCTCTTGAGATTTTAATCACTGGTTTGTCTCCATATTTTATGTTCATGCTCCCGTTGGATAAATAATCTAAATGTGTCCTAATGTTATTTGAAACTCAAAATGTAAACGTCATAACGACACACAAATCAAAGCAATAGGACGACTGGTGCTTGGTTTTCCGAGTACTAATGCTTACCTCCCCTCCCCACCCCCCACACAGAGAATCCCTGAGCTGCACATTCCTGCTCAAGGTGATTGGCTGAAAATGGACAGTTTCTAGCTAGTGCACGTGAAATGCTTTACAAAAATCCTGAAATCTCACTGTGCATTTCAGAGACAAGCTCTTCTAACAAGCTGGTGTGGTTGGTGGTGGCCAATAGGTCAAGACCCAGTCAAAGTTTTAGGTCAGTCATTGGTTCTAAAAGGGTAATTGTACATCCATTAAAAACTTTCATAGTTTGATATAGCTAATAATGTGATGTCATAATGTGTCTTGGGCATCAAGTTTGTGACTCATTGCATCACTACTTTATCAAGCTATTATAAGCTTGCCCCACATTACACTTTGATATTAAATATGCTAGAATCACAGGCATTGTTAAAAGTAAAACAAGTCTTAAAGAACTACCATAACATTAACCAATAAAGCGGTGTAAGAACAGACTGTAATGCTACCTGCACACTCCCCCATCCCCAATACTAGTTTGCGCAGTTTTCCATAAAACAAGTGGCTGTATTATGCTCAGTAAAAGAAGTTTAAAAGTTAATGCACCAGATTAGCACCTTCTGAGCTTAGACTTGATATGCAGATCTCATAGTTTACTACTACACTACTAAGAAGGTGAAAGGGGTCACATATTACATGAGTCCATTCACTTCTCTGATTTTTCTTTTTATCATACATAAAGTGAGCTGGAGACCAGGTGACAGTGAAATCTCTGATGTCAGACACACCTGGATCTACCCCCTGTCTCTGCATGTGGGGACCCTGGGAGAATCCCCGAACCCCTGTGAGTCTCAGTACACCCACCTGTGAGCTGTGAACAATTCCCATTCTCCAGGTCATTCTAAGTATAAATAAGAATGGAAGTCCACTGAATGACAGGGACTAGAAGACAGCGTTTAATAAATGGGAACCATTATTATGCAAGAGGGCCAATGACCCAAAGGTGCAAACTCTGAGATTCCATGCTTACATTTGGAAATACAGTTCCACTTGGAAAAATAAGCAAGATGGGAAAGACAGGCAAAGTCGCCAGTGAAGTGATTATATCATACAAAGCACTGTTTTTGCTCAGACCATCACCTTTTGAAATTGAAATGAAACCTGTTTTGTCAAGCAGATTAACAAAACTGAATTCAGAAAAAAATGGACAATCCCTAAACTAAGAGGAAAATGAACTGTTTTTGCGGTGGAGCAGCGTTATCACTACGTGCCCTCAAAATCGCCAGTTCCCAGATACATGTCAGTGTACACTCTGGGCCCTTCCTTCCGCTGAGAGGACTGGGCTTCGGTGCTATTTAGTCACAGCGTTAGGTCTGCCCTGTCCATCCATTTACACCTCCTGCGGTGACTATAAAAGGAACACCCAACTTTAGTCAATATAAAGTAGGAAGGAAAATCCAAATATTTTTTTGATATGTGACCAAAGTCATAATAGTTATTTTTTTAAAGATTGTATTTATTTATTTTTAGAGAGAGGGCGAGGGAAGAAGAAAGGGAGAGAAACATCAATATGTGGTTGTCTGTTGCGCACCCCTCACTGGGGACCTGGCCTGCAACCCAGGCATGTGCTGTGACTGGTAATTGAACCGCAGTCCTTTCCTTTGCAGGCCTGCGTTCAAGCCACTGAGCTATACACTAGCCAGGGCCAAAGTCATATTAGTTCTAAAAGTTTAAGATATGGGCTTTTTCCTCTCTTAACTAATTTATTCAACAGGATCAAGAAATGTACCGTTTCTGTCCTGTAAATATTCGTCTCCACATACTGCCCCTGTGGGGGCTTTTGAGATGGACACACAGAAGGAGGAGGTGATGTGAGACAGAAAGGAACTTCAGGGTCATGGGCAGTGGGTGTGGGGGAGCCTGGGGAGCAGCAGCTTTGTCCTGTGAAGTAGAGAACTCTTGGGGTACAGCGACAGGGTGGGTCTTGAGGAAGGTGCAGCAAAGCCAATGACCAGAACCACTGTCCTCAACTTGAGTATAAGTCAGATCACCCATGGGGCTTGGGAAATTGCAAACTTCCAGGCCCCACCTCTGGCAATTCTAATCTGCTAAGTATGGAGGGTTGCTGGTTGCCTACTCTAATATCCCTTCCTAGAATTTTATTTGGGGAAACAATGTATTAATTAAAAAAAAAAAACCCATGCCCTGTCTGGTGTGGCTCAGTGGATTGAGTGCCAGCCTGTGAACCAAGAAGTTGCTGGTTCAATTCCCAGTCAGGGCACATGCATAGGTCATGGGCCAGGTCCCCAGGTCGGGGCACACGAAGGGCAACCA